CTTCAGGCCGGTGGGGCCGAGCTGGAAGGCTCAGGGAGGTAACTAAGATTTAGGGCTGGGGTGATTTCCAGCGAGCCGCAGGAAGTTCCGTGTTGAGAAGTGATGGGCTGCTACAAAAGGGAAAGACGGAGCCTTGAAAGGATTTAATTAACCGTGTCAGGGATAATTACCCCTGGACAGTCCAAATTAGTTTTGCATAATCGCTCAGAACCATATGAATTAACTTATAATATTGCAAAGAGCTCGGGGAATAACAGGAGAAGGATCGTTTTAATTAGTGAATCAGGGTCAAACCAGCAGAGCCTATTTCTCACATTTCCAAACTTTTCATGGTTCTTAAAATATTATTCCGTAGGGGGAAAACAATGACTTTAAAGAGAGTTGGGTAGCTTATAAAGACGTGGAGCTCCAGAGACTGTCTCTTTTGGAGAAACTAGTTTAGGACTAGTTGAGTCTTGTATCTTTAGAATTTCTATCTTGGTGGGGCGAAAATAAAGATCTCCCTCCAGGTAATTTTTTTTCTCCTGATAGTCTTCCTGGCATCTTCTAATTTCTTTTTTGAAATTAAAACCTGGTATGATTTCAAACCTTTCTCCAGTGAAAGCTTGTGCAGCTTTGGAAATTCAACCCTCTCCATTAGAATTTGTTGTTTCTATTTTAATGCCATTAGCATGACAGAATAAAGCCTTAAAGAGGTCAAAAGTTGTACAAAGTCTTAATTCAGGGATCATCCTTACAAATAAAATCTTAAGGTGTAAATAAGGAATATACCAAAGATACAAGAACAAATTACACTGATTTAAGCAGTGGGGCTCTCCTGCTAACAAGATAAAGTGGTCAGGCAACTTTCGCCTCTTAAAATGTTACTGGAAACTAGTGAAATGCTTTAAACGGTCTGGATGTTTTCAATGGGCTCTGTTCTACTGGTTCATGAATGCCTTTTTTTCCCCCCAAGATAATACAACTACTTGGTTTTTTTTTTTTATCTTCTTTCCTATTCACGATTAAAAATGTGATAAATCAGGTTTTTGGCTCTGAATAACAATGGCTTGATTTAGATTTCCTAGTAAATCTATTCAAAAGTGAAACAAAGACTGCCTTTGGAGGATACCTTACACTTCACCTGGACCAGGCACGTAAGGGCAATTCAGATAAAAATCTTGTTAGGAACTCAACAAGAAATAGAGGATTTTCTCTTTTCCCTGGTTCAGGCTTTATTTAAACTCTTTGTTCAAAAAAAATGAACAGAGTGATAGTCGGGTTCTAATTTACAGATATAGTTTAGACATCTAATATTAAATTAGAAGATCACACAAGAAAAACCATTTACACATAAAGGTTAAAACCAATACTTAAACTTTCAAAAACTTTATATTACATAAAGCCAAAATGAAACTAAATACATGTTAGCCAACTTCATTCACAAACAGTAGTCAAAATATATACACTTAAAAAGAAAAAAGCTACAAATGAGGTTCTTTTCTCTAAAATGTGTTTTATCATCATTTGCAAATGAATTGCAGGTGATCTAAAAAATAAACTAATTAGGGAGGGAACTCCAAAACACATTTAAGCGGTTTGAGTTGGTGGAGAAATGCTAGCTCAAAGAAGAGACATCTGTCAAAACAATTCTGGTTTTTGTTTTGTTTTGCTAAATAATAAATATATAATTACCACTCAGACAAAAAAGTCTGATTTAGTCTTAGATAAAATTGCGGGTCTGAAATAGTCCCGCAATTTTTAAAAGTTAACTTTGACATTAGTTCAAAATGTTTGAGAGTCGAAAACTGACTCAAATTTAGGGCAACGCAAATAACACATTTTCAGGCTTAATGCTTTCACGGACATATACACATTTACAATCTGAAGGTGAAACTCAGCCATAATGAGAAAATAGGAACAATACCTTTTTCTGTGTAAACTGTGTCAAAAATTCTAGCGAGTGGACTCAGGAAGACTTCTAGTAGATTTTTTTTTTTTTTAAGGGAGAAAATCCAATTGACAACTTTTCATTTCACACACATTTCTTGTTTGCGGTCCTTGCTCCTGAGAAAGAGCTCTTGGTCTGATTTGCATATGGCAGGATAAACAAAAGAAACCGTGATCGTCTCACACACAAAAGGCCAGATTCGAGCCGGTCACTGGTCAAGAATGGATCCGGTCTAGGGGTTCTGCTTGAGAGAACAGAGATTTGCAAAGTTCAAATAGTACAAATAGGGAGCAAGGCTGCTCGGAGCCATCCCGTTCCGAGAAACTAATGACACAGATCAGCTTTTCCCTTGTGCTAACCATTTCAGACCTAACGTTTGAACAGAGTGCATGCAACACAGACCAGGAGAAAAGAATAATAATAAAAGAAAAACAATGGGCAACAAAAGCAAAACCGACAGTAAACTTCCCACAGAGAAAGCTGGAAAGCCCAACATGTAAAAAAAAAAAAGTTACTCCTCCACCTCTGTGGGCCAAAACGCAACAGGTTCCGAAGTGCAAAGCAAACAGCCACTGCTGTCGGATACAACTGCCCTCTTTAAAGTTGTCTGCGGGGTGCAGGTCTGAAAGGATCCTGTCGAATTCACACGCACACTCGCCCGCGCACTCGCGCGCTCGGCCACTCGCGCCCCGACTGGCATCTATACACTTTATGTACACACACACCTGGGGGCTCCCGTCGCGGGAGGGCGCGTGGGGAGGCCGCAGAGCTCGTACCTATACATATGTACACGTGGGCACACCGGTCCCGGCGAGGCCACCCCGCGGGGGTCATAGCGCGGCGGCGTAGGCCGCGGGGTAGGGGTCTAGTTGGGGCTTGCCCATGCCCGGCAGCAGGATGTAGGCGAGCGGCGGCTGCAGCCCGGGGCTGGGCCACGCGCTGCAGTTGCACGGGATCATGTAGCCCGGGTTGCCCGGGCTGGGGTGCGAGTGCGTGTGCCCCCCGGCGGAACTGCGGGAAGAAGACGCGCGCCGCTGCAGCGGCGGCGGCGGCGGCCGCCTTTTCAGGGTTGGCGAGCAGCGACTCGGGCACCAGGCCGCCGCTGCCCGCGCCCGCGTGCAGCCCGGCGCCCGCCTTGAGCGCCGGATGCTCGGCGTCGGCCACGCCGCCCAGGCCATAGGGCACCGGGAAGGCGAACTTGTCCTTCTTGAGCAGCGTCTTGGGCTTGCGCCGCGGCCGGTACTTGTAGTCGGGGTGCTCCTTCATGTGCATGGCGCGCAGGCGCTTCGCCTCGTCGATGAACGGCCGCTTCTCCGACTCGGTGAGCAGCTTCCACTCAGCGCCCAGGCGCTTGCTGATCTCCGAGTTGTGCATCTTGGGGTTCTCCTGGGCCATCTTGCGCCGCTGAGCCCGCGACCACACCATGAAGGCGTTCATGGGCCGCTTGACGTGGTCCACCGGCTTGGACATGCTGTCGCCCTGCCGCGGCTGCAGCCCGCCGCCGCCCGGGCCGTCGCTCTCGGCCCGGAGGAAATCAATGTTGGCTGTCGGCGGGGACCCGTTCGGCCCGCCGCTCCCCAGTTTTCACACCGGCGTCGCTCCCACCGGGAGGAGGGGGCCGAGGGACCAGCCCCGGGCCGCGTCGCGCCCCCTGGATGTTCTGCTGTCTCCGGCCGGCCAGGCGCTCGGGGGTGGGGAAAACAAAATCCTCCCCGGGGCACGAGAACTTCTCGGCGGTGTCCCCACCCCCAGGGTGGCAGTTTGCCCTTTTCTTTGTGTCCTTCCTGTCCGGTGGCGTCCGCTCGCGAACTCCCCGCAGGTGGCCGCCACCCAGCAGCACGGTCCTCCTCCTCGGTCTTTCCCCTGTTAAATGCACAGCGGCCCCGAAAGTTGCGTCGCGGAGGCGCCACCAAGTTGAGCGGAGGAGTCAGCCGCCGCGTGCTGCCAAGTGCCAAAGGGGGCTCTCGGCGGCTGGAGTGTTTGGGTTCTCCTCGGTGACTTTCTCATTTGACAGTGGCAGATGGGGGTGGGGGAGGAGGGGGGGGGGCGGCCGGGAGGAGGAAGAGGAGGGGGTCCCGGCGCACCGAGGGAACGCAGAGCGCCGCAATGGATATAAATACAAATACCGCGGCACCGGCCGGTCTTCCTCGCTTGCAGCAGGCGGGGTGCGCTGATGGGAACCCCCCTGGTGGGCTGGGGTTTGGGGGGGAGCTTTCCACACCCCAGCACCTGCCTCGTGGGTCTTCCTCTCCGGCTGCGGGTCGGGGCAGGAGGTTAGCTGAGGATTCAGCAAGCTTGGGATCGATCTCCCGGCCTCAAAGGAAATCCTCCCGGCTCGCCGGGGCGGCGCGTCTCGCTGTCCCTGGGGCCATGCTGGCTCGGCTCTCTCCAAGCCCCTCCTGGCGCGCCGGCCGACTCGGGCACCCGGAGCGCGCTGGGCGCGGAGCCGCGGGCCAGGCACCGGCCGCGTCCCACTCGGTCCTCTGGGCCTCCGCCCGGGACTTGCAACTAACTTCGCCCAAGTTTCCTGCGCCGGCGCCGCCGCGCCCCTCTCGGCGCGCTCGCCTCGGAGCGTGCGCCCGCGTGTGCTCCGCACCCGGAGCCCCTCTGGGCGGGCTTTCTCGGCCGGAGCCGAGCGGGCGGAGGTGCAAGGGGGGCCGGGGGTGGCGGATGGGTGGGTAGGATTTAAAGAAGGCGCGCCATCACCTCAGTTCGCAGGTCCGCGCTGGGGCTGCTCCCAAATTGCCCCTCTCCTGCAGCACTGGGGGCCCCTTTCCGGCCCAGGTCGCCTTCCCGCCGCTCCCGAGGCGACAGGAGCCCTGTGCACAGGCTCAGGTGAGTGTCGCTACCTGCGTGTACACGTGCCCGAAGCCGGCGCTGGGTGTGCATGGCCGGCCGCCGCTGAGTGTGTGTATATCTGGGGGCATGCGGAGGAGGTGGAGCCCAGCACTTGGGGAGGGAGGAGGGACCAGCCGATCCGCCTCCCGCTCCCACACCCTCAGGACCGCGAATTAAACAGGATCCCCGCCGCCTCTCCCCCTCCTCACTCCCCACCCCCNGTTCAAAATCAGTAAGAAGTATAAAACGTTTCTCTGAAAGACAGAAGTGAAACGTACTAGTCAGTGTGTACTGGAATATTTTTATGCTGTTAAGAACAATTTCCTTTAGTAGGAGCAGCTTTTTCCTTTATATTTGACATAATGCAAAGATCAAACAGCATGATTTTGTTTGCAGATTTTCCTCACTTCTTGGTATGCTTGCAGCACATCTTCTAACACGATCAGTCTGGAAGTTGCATTCACAAGTTGGCCTGCCCTTCAGGGGAAACTTTCTTGCCTCTTTGGCAGTGTGGATTTGACCTAGCCATGTGGTGTGTACAAGTAGGAAGTTCTACAATCAGTTAACTCTTTTAAGTTTTCCCTGCAATTCATGTCCAGTTCGAACACAAACACATATGCAGGTATGAAGAACTGATTGAACTTAAATGAAAACATTTTTAGGCCATCAGTTTTATTTAAAAGTTAGCCTTGTTTTATTGCTCATTTTAATAATAGAAAAGTGATTGTTGCTTTTTTTTTTTTTAGTTGCTGTGATGACATACAGAAATGCAAATCATCAGTGAAATGTATGGGAGTGACTCTCTTTCTTAAGATACCACACAAATGTTTACTTTGCATCAGCCCTTGTATTGCTAAAACAATTGGACTGATTTCTTTAGAACCATATTCCTTTACAGGCTCTATAAAGACACTCTGTTCACAGACTCTGGGTGGAGCAACTGTTAAAACCCTAGCAGGAGTAATTATATAGACTTGAGTATTAAATATACTGTTTTGTGATGATAAACTATGAAACTATCATCCCCGAGCTTTTAACCTACTAACTTATATAATAGGTTTGAGACAAAATATACACTGTCATACAAAGGACATATATATGTACAGGGGCACAAGATGTGAAAACTGTTACTAAGATTATTGTGAATAAAGTTGAGTCTAATCTTGAAAATTATTTTGATATATACAAAAGGATAAGGACTGAGAAACATTTTTATATTGGTGAGTTAAATTATTGTGTATTTTCAAATTTAAGTTTAGAAATCAATTGCAATAAATTATTACCATGAAATGTTTGCATATATGATTGAAATGTATGCCTGTATGTCAAATATCTTATAAAAATAAAATGTATAAGCTTCCTAGGATATGGTTTTATGAATTGTGTGGTATTGCCTGTTTAGTGATATTAAATGAACCAGATTTGAAAGTTCTTAAGTTCATGAATGTTGAACTGTGGGGAGAAAAAAAAAAAAGATGTTCCCGTACCTAAAAAGAAAATGGTTATTTGTGTGCTTGTTTGCTATTCCCGTAATACAGTTTCACACTAGGAAAGGTATGGTTTTCAGTTTTGGTTTTTAGGGGATCAGTATTCTTGGCCTAGAGCCTTTTCATCCAGGGAGAGGTCCCCAGGATAAACCCTCATGGGGAACAGCAGCAAATCACGGCTGCTATTCACGGGCCTTCATGCCTCTTGACTGAGTCTGGTTAAGCTTTTCTCCATAAGTTTTCTTGCCATTCCCTTTCTTATGTACTGAAATGACGATTTAGTTTTAATGTCCACAGAGCTTACGTTTGAACTCATGGAACCTTATATATTTGTTCTTTTACATTTCTCTGCCTGCGTGTATGCTCAGTCGCACCTGACTTTTTGTGACCCCGTGGACTGTAGCCCACCAGGCTCTTCTGTCCGTGGGATTCCCCAGGCAAGAATACTCGAGTGGGTTGCCATTTCCTTCTTCAGGGGACTTTCCTGACCCAGGGATCGAACCCGGTCTCCTGCATTGGCAGGCGGATTCTTTACCACTGTTCTTGTACATTGTGACCTAAAAGCGAAAAAATACCAAGATATAGGAAAGAGAGCAGTCTGTCTGAGTGGACAGTGAAGGAAAAATACATTGAAAGAGAATTAGAAGTTCTATGGGCTTTATATTGCCAAGTGGATGGCAAGCACCCAAAGGACCGTGTACTCCATCCGTGGAGCCTATACAGGCTCTGTATTTGCCTTGTGGCCAAGGAATACCCGTGACCACAAATACATCTATTCTGCAGCTGAGAGGCAGACCCTTTCTCAGACAAAGTTTGGGGAAAAGTCTGCAAAGTCACTTTCTTCTTTTTCCCTTAGATCCTCCCTGTGAATGGTCTTTTTTCAATTCTAAAACTTTCACTAGGAGGCAGCAATGAGATTGTTGGGGAATTTTTTTTTTTTAAATACCTTGGCAATGCCAAAGTGACTGGCTTTCTTCTTCTTTCTCTTTCTCTCCTATAAAAGGGAGGGAGGATATTTGGATCCCAACAAAAGACAGGGGCTCAGAGTGAGCTAAATCATTTTTCTCCCTTCATCGATTCCATCTCCGTTCTCACTGGATTTTCACCCAGATGGCTCATTGTTACATTTTTCTAGAACCATGGAGGTGAAACCCCAGCAAAGAAAGCAAACTGGCACGAGGTGCCCAGGTGGAAGTGACAGGGTGGGAAAGGTGATGCCTTCAAATGCAGAAGCCAAGTCATGACACCTGGAGCACTGGGAGCAGACACTGGAGTTAAGGGAACTTTGGGCTTCTGGTCTTAAGCAAGTGCAAGGAAAGAATTCATAAGCTTTCAACCTGCATGGAAAAGTAATACAGCCTGTTTGTCCTGTTAAGGAGGAAATGAGCAAACTGACAAAAGCCAGTCTCAGGCTTTTGTTACAGTTCTCTAATCCTACTCCTTTAGTTCCCTAGTTGTGTTCCTATCATCCCCACCCCGACCTGCCCCCCCATAAGGGGGGAAGAAAACCCCAAACACATGGTCCACATAAAACCTGAGAGATGAGGAATTAAGTCAGGTAGTCATGGTTAGAGTGAATGGCTGCAAGAGCGACCTTTGACTGGTTACTGCTAAATTTTCATTCTTTTGAGATTTCTGTCCCTTTATTCTTACTGCTCCTGCCATACTGGGACTATACAAATCAATTATGAGAATGCCTTTCTTCATTCCTCCTTAGCAGTACTCAACTCAGGCTGGCATTTTCTAAATCAAGTTTGCCTAGATGGCAGAGCAAGAAATACAAAATTTAAAAGCCCATTGTCCCACCCCAAATAAAACAGCTAAGGGGAAAAAGCCAATACAAATAATCCAAGACAGACAACTTCACAAAGTACAATTTCAGTTCCTGAGAATACTGTGAAAGCAATTGACTTTTCTCTAGGATAAGTGCTTTTTTTTTTAAGTGGAAGAGAACTAACATTGAACAAAACCAGAAATGACTGAGGAGGGTTGAACAGTCAGCATATCATATAATGAAGAATCCTTCCAACTCATAGTTTTCAAATGAGGAGACTGGATTCTGGTGTGGTAGGCTTACTTGTAAATTTCACCACCGTGTGTGCCCCGGTTGATTTTGAGAAAGATAGGAATACTGCTTAAGTCTTCCAGCAGGGTGTTGGATAGGCCATGTTTCTGATTTTACAGAGTCCCTCTGTCTGGCTGTTCTTTCCAGCTTCCAGACCTCCTTGATCTGTGTGTTACTCTCTCTTAGGTTCAGTTTCCTATCTGAGGATGGATCTGCTTTGATAAGCAGTTTGATTTTAACTATCATTTAGTGAGTTCTTAAGACACCATCCCTTTTGCATACACTATCTTATTTAATTTTTAGGAAAGCTCTATGAGGTAAGAGTTATCTCAATTTGCAGTTGGGAAATGGAGCCTTAGAACTGATGTGTAAGTAACTCACCCAAAGTCACACAAACGCAAGTGAAAGACATGGGGTGTGAACTAAGCTGATGCTCTTCACCAGCACCACTCTGAGCTGAAGAAGCAGCTGCTTCCTGGCTCAGATTCCCAATCCCACCTACTTCCTCAAGCCTCCTTGTGATTCACTCAGCACCATGCTTCCTCTGAGAGGGAGTGGCCGAAGGGAATCCTCCCAGTAAGGTGGCCCATGCCTACAGCAACATGCTGCCCGAGGTCCAGTCCTGGCGCCGAGCAGTCAGCTCCCCAGCTGGCTCCTGTGGTGGTCAGCACGGGCTTGGTCTCAGCTGCCACTCAATACCCCTCACTCCCCAGGCTTCCCACTGCAAACTCTGACTGATTGCCAGTGCCAAACAGAACCCAATCTCTACCCTTTCTCTGATAGCCAAGGACTGCTAAAAGGGAAGCCTTTAACAATGATATCTAATCTCAGTCTGTATATTTCCCCAACCCTACTTGTCCAAACCACTCTCTCTCCTTCCCTCTTTCTGTCCCTCCTTCATCCCTCTCTTTCTTTTATGAAATCCAAGTGCATGAAACTGGTTTAATCACAATTCCCAGTGCTTGATACACTCTCATAATTGCTCCATCAGTAACTGTCTTTTCTTCTTCCTTCCTTCCCTCTTTTCTTCCTTCCTTCCTTTCTTTCTTTCTCCCTGTCTCTCTTTCCTTCTTTCATCATGTAATAAATGCCTATGAATCCACCATCCAAAACAGAATCTGCTGGTATACCTATTATAAGGGCTTCCCTGGTTGCTCAGCTGGTAAAGAATCCACCTGCAATGCAGGAGACCCTGGTTCGATTTCTGGGTCAGTAAGATCCCCTGGAGAAGGGAATGGTTACCCACTCCAGTATTCTGGCCTGGAGAATTCCATGGATTGTTTAGTCCATGGGGTTGCAAAGAGTCGGACAGGATGGAGCAACTTTCACTTTCATACCTGTACAAAACCAAATCTTCTCCCCCAGGAAACTTCACACTACATCTATGTTTATCATTTTTAAGTATGTTTTTCTTTATATTTTAACTTTAAGTGTTATTATAAGTTAAAACTTTTCTATGTAATCTTTAGTGATGAACTTTTTTCTTTTAATTATGTTTGGATTCAATGTTAATGCATGTCACTGAGTTGATTCATGTGCTGCCTAATATTTAATTGTGCATATAAACCACAATGTATTTGCTTATACTCTCCTGTTAATGAGCATGTGGGCTGTTTCCAGTTTCTAACGATGTGCACTTGTTGCTGTGGGTTTCCCAGGTGGCTCAGTGGTAAAGAATCTACTTGCCAAGCAGGAGACATGGGTACAATCGCTGGGTTGGGAAGATTCCCTGGAGGATGAAATGGCAACCTACTCCAGTATTCTTGCCTGGAAAATGCCATGGACAGAGCAGCATGGTGGGCTACAGTCCATAGGGTGGCAAAGAGTTCGACATAAATGAGTGACTGAGCACACGCACACACACTGTCTGCTATAGACATCTTGTTCATGTCTACGACTGTGTATATGTGAGGTATTTTATAAGCAAAAAACTGTAAAAATGGGAAATTCATCTAGTACTGTACCCTTTTTCCAAGTGTGTCCCCTTGTGTATCTGTTTACTTTTGACTTTTCTGCAGGCATTTAGAGAGTTGTTTTTTTTTTTATATTTTGTCCGAAGCTTATGATTATTATCTAAGTGAGAGTTGGTCTTCTAGAAGCTATTTTTCCATTCCAGAATCTACCTGATATTGGTTTATTTGTATGGTATAAGTCTTGATTTCTTTCCATATGGACATTCAATTTTTTGAACCAGTCATTGTAAAGGCTGGCTTTATATGATTATTATCTAAGTGAGAGTTGGTCTTCTAGGAGCTATTTTTCCATTCCAGAATCTATCTGAAATTGATTTATTTGTATGGTATAAGTCTTGATTTCTTTCCATATGGACATTCAATTTTTTAGAACCAGTCATTGTAAAGGCTGGCTTTCTATACTGCTCACTATTGCTCCCTTTGCTGTAGGATGTGAGCTGGTTTCTGAATTCTCTATTTTGCTTCATAGTTTTCAGTTTTTCAGTTTTTGCACTAGTGTTGCACTATCCTAATTCTGGCTGAGCAAGTACTTTCGTTTCTTCTTATTGAAAAGTATCATGGCTGCTCTTGACCTTTCCTTGTCCATATACATTTGATTTATTTTTTATTGGAGTATAGTTGCTTTACAATGTTGTGTTAGCTTCTACTGTATGATGAAGTGAACCAGCTATATGTATACATATATCCCCTCCCTCTAGAACCTCCGTCCCACCCTTGTATGTACACTTTAGAACAGATTGTCAGATTCCAAATATTCTTTAAAAACCCAAGTATTTTTAATTTAAAAGCTTAAATTGGGGTATAATTATATTAGTTTCAAGAACAAAACATAATTATTTGA